TATGTATATATATGTGTGTAAGTATAAATTTGTGAATAGAAAAACAGAAAAATCACACCAAAATGAATTTACACGAACGCTATATGTGTACTTCAACAATAGATTTCTCAATTTTGGAATTATTAGAAATTGCATTTAAAGATAACCCATTTTTATTATTACATCGTTTGAGCAAATATTATAATACCGAAATAATGAAAAATAATCTACATACAAAACAATTAAATACATTTCGAATGATATTATGTTATGAATATCAAATTTTATTTCATACACGGAAGGAACATGTTAAAATAGTTTCAAGCGATTTATGTTTTAAAACTATTGAAAACGCTTTATTTATAAGAAATCAACTAGAAAATTTTATTGAATATCCTATTTTATACGATATTGTAATTTTACAATTAACACTTTATTGTGACCCACAATGTATTGAACAACATTTTACGAATTTTCGAAAATTAAATGCTGATATCTTGAATACTAATGAAAGTAAATTTTTGTATATGAAAATACTAGAATGTTTTGTAGAATCATTACAATTAAAGAAATATTTATATAATGGTTTGGAATCAAATCTACTAAAACGTTTTAATTCATTGTATTTGAAAGATATGACATTATGGTTACAAATGAAAGAAAATAAAGAATGGCAATTATTTGCTTCAGTTTTACCAAAATTAATAAGTACCTTTGGTTCTGAAAATATTTTGCCAACTATATGGGATTGTATTTTAAACAAATTGGATGATATAAAAGATTCATTAAATGCTCTCAGCATATTAACAGATATATGTTTTTCATTAAATTCAGAAAATACTAGTCTCATATATCATGATTTATGTTTCACAGAACAACTATGGTTATTAATAATACAATGTTTAAAGTCTTCTGTACAACAATATCGTAAACAAGCATTATTTATAATGAAACAAATAACTAATATGATAAGTACCATAGATGAAAGTGATCTAAAATTGAAGAAATTTAAAAATACTCCTTTTATATGTAATCAATCAATTGAAACAAAAATATCAATAAATGACATTAAACAGAAGTACTTCATAATATTGGAAGTATTGGAGGAAAAGCAACATCATTTAATATTACCTGCATTAACTCATTTAACAATTTTGGTACAAGGAAACAAAGAACATGCTATGTGTAACAATTGCTTTGACAATATTTGGTTACAAGTGATTTTTGAGAGGATATTGTTGCATGAAAATAATATCATAGTAAAAGAGGGAATATTATATGTTTGCAAATCAGTTGCCTTTTTATTTGATGCTCAATTTTTAAAATTGTTTATACATGTTTTAAATAATACATTTCTATATGAATGTCAAAATTATCAACAAGAACCAGAAATATTAAAAGATATCATAACATTATTTATGCATATAAGAAAGGAACAAGTTGACTTTCTTAATAAAGTTTTTCAAGTAATGAATGAAGAAACATGGGCTCCAATACCAATATTTTATATGATAAGAGTTTTAAGAATAGTTTCAAGTAAGGTGTCAAACCAGTGGAAAGATGACCAACTAAGTTTAATTAAATCTTTAATTCAGAAAAGCCTAAATATGCATTCTCATATATTAAGGATTGCATCACAAATTGAGCTTTTGAAGATAATTGTACTTTCTGTAAAAGAAATTAATAATTTCAAAAGTACAATAAATATGTTGTTAGAATTTCCTTTAGAAGAAATTTTTATAAAAAATTCATTCTCATGGAATATTGTAATAGCATGGTTAAAAAAAGTATTAGTAAAAGAAGATGTAATAAATTTTATTAAATTTATGTGTGAAGAGCATTCATGTCAAAATTTATATTTTAGATTTAATCCTGAAAAATTTGCTGTTATTGTTGTCATGTTTCATGATGCAAATTTAATATTACAACAGAAAGCATGTCCTGCAAAAGAAATATTAAATAATTGGTTGTTGTCCCTCAAAGGGATAGAGGCAAGACCTTATGCAAATATTGCAGATATCTTTTATATGGTAGAATTTATGTCACATTTACTTAATTTAAGTGTTATAAAATCTTCTAAAATTATTATACAACTGTTAACTTTATATATTAATGACGCATTAAAATTTTTACTCAAAAACAGTCGAACTGTACCATACAAGTTTAGTTATAAAGAAATACACAGATATCTTACTGCAATTGTTTTAATTCTTAATAATGGAAATTTACTTTTAACAGAAAAAGAAATTCTACATTATGTTGAAAAATTCAAAACCGAAAGTATAATTATTATTCAAAATATAAAACAATATACAAATATGCACTATGTGTATGCATTATATATTTTACATTATACTCAAAATATTTTATGTACAAATCACACATTATTTTATTTACAACCATTGTTAAATATTTGTGACATTCGCATATTTAATGATAGTGGAAATGAAAGAAAATCTAATGGAAAATTAGCATCAGATTGTTACATATTACTTGCAAAACTTACAAATCAATTTTTATCAAAAGTGGAAATAGAATTATGGCCTCAAAAAGTTGATTGGATTAAAAGCATTTTCTACTTACATGAAATGGGAGGAAATGATATTGTTCCAGAAATAGCACTAATATTAGGAACAATGATTAATAAGGGAACAATAAAAGATCAAGAAGATATATTAAATTTAGAATCTATTTTTACTCTATGTTGGAGAACAACTTTGTTGAGTACAAAAAATAAAATTTACTTCTGTGCAATAAAAAATCTTCTAAAAGTTATTATAAACAATAATTTTTTGATATTGCCCAACATTAAGAATTTTGTAGACAATGTAAGATACTAATATATTGTTAAAAAGCTTCATCCTTTTCTTATATATTAAAGTTATTTTTAATTTTTAGTTTCTTAATCAATTACTCGAAGAAAGTAATAATGTGCCAAAATTGAAGAATATCTTATTAAATGAAATGAAGTTATTAAATATATACTGTTTAAGATATCTACAAGAATCACTATTGGCATGTCTTCTTCATGGACATGTACTTCGAAAAGATAAACAAATAGAGCATCAAGTCTATTTAGATATTACAAAAAATTATGATAATTGTTACCCACAACACATACAGGCAATGTGGGTACTTTTATACTGTTGTAAATTATTTTTAATTATTTTTTTTATACTGTTGTTAATTACTTCTTAATTAATATTTGTACCTTATTAATAGAGATCATAGTAATGATATTAATATTAGAGCAGCTTCTGTTGTTCTATTACATAAAATAATCAATGAAGATACAGAGTTTGCATCAATATTTCTTCCAAAAATTTTACAGAAATTGGATAAATACAAACATAAACGATATTTTAATCATTCATACATGCATAAGATAAAACATCGAATTATGCAAATTTTATTAATAATACAGCCAAGACTAACTAAGGTAAAATTTATATTTCGGTAATGATACCTTATTATTTTAAAGTATTGAGTAATTGAAAAAAATTAAATTCTTTTACAGGATGATACTGTATCATTACAAGAATTTCTTTGTAATTTGATACTTTTGGAAACTAATCAACATAGTGTTCGAATAATGCAAGAATGGATATTAATAAAAATTTTCTTAGAAAATGTGGAATTTCATCACAAAATTTGGGAATTCCTTGAAAAAGTACTTAAATAAGTTTTATTTTTCCATCATGAAATTTTGTTTTCATATATATGAGAAGTTTAATTAATGTAATATGTATAGGGCATTACAATGCGTCCTGGATGTGTTAGTTCCATAATGTGTATTGTCTATCATGTTTCAACACTTCTTCCTAAAGATTTCCAAAGCACTTTTATTTTAACAGGAATCAATTATATTACACATTGTTGTTTAGGGCAACAATATAGTATGCGTCTTTATGCTCAGGTATATTACATTATATTACACTGTAAAATAACAATAAGTTACATTTATATTCTTTTTTGTTTGTAACAGATCACTTTTGTCAAATTATATAAAATATTGGAAAAATTAAATTCTGATAATATTACATTACAATACAAAGCATTGTATAATGCTTCAATTGCAAATCTAAAAGATGGATTACTAAAAAATTCAAGTAAAATTCAAGATGATTTCTATTTATCTACTTTTCATCCCATATTGGATTATACTTTACAAGTAATATTACTAAAATTAACATTTGATATTATGAAATGGGAATACAAAAATAAAAATATAAATGAAGTTATAATACTTAAGTAATATTTTCTTTCTATTTGTAGACAATTTATTTTGAACTACCTCGATTGACTAATATGGATGCAAGTGAATGGATACTTCCATATTTCTTTAAAATTTTAAATTTTAAAGAGATTAATGGTCATTCTCTCCAACTGTATAACTTAAATACATCATTATCAGATACTAAAACATCATCATATTTAATAAAATGCTCAGGTATTTTACATACTACAATAATTATAACAATTTATGATAATACATTTCATAACTAACGAGAATCACATTTTATAATATTAAAACATAATAGGTGATACCGAATTTAAGAAAGATTATAATATGGGTTCTGAAGAACTGAATATACAAAAAAAAATGAATCCTTTAATGGATGGATTCAAATTAAATTTGTCACAGAATGATATTTTTCCAACAATTAGAGAATCCATTTTACATAAAAGAATATTGGATGAAGAAGGTCTTATAGTTGTAGCATGTCTTATTAATAGGATTCCAAATTTAGGAGGACTTGCTCGTACTTGTGAAATTTTCAATGTCAAAGAATTAGTTATTGCAAACTTAAACCAAATTAAAGATAAAGAATTTCAAAACCTTAGTGTATCAGCTGAAAATTGGATAACTATTACAGAGGTATTTTGTATATAATATTTTATACAAAAAACTAATTTACATTATAGTAATAAACTTGTAACTATTTCAGACAAAACCATATGATTTACCTAAATATTTATTAAATAAAAAGGATATGGGATGGTCTTTGATAGGAGTAGAACAAACAGTAAATAGCATAAATGTGCTAGATATGAAATTTAAAAAGAAAACAATTCTTGTTCTAGGGTAAGTGGTTATAAAATTAGATAAATTTATGTAAGTAACTAAATATTATTTACAGAAATGAAAAGAATGGAATTCCTGCCAACTTGATACCATTGTTCAATACTTGTATAGAAATACCACAAGTTGGTGTGATTCGATCATTAAATGTTCATGTCAGTGGAGCTATATGTATATGGCAATATGCAAAACAACACATATTAATGTGATCCTATTTTTTATCATAGTAAATAATTATATAATATTATGTAATTGGTAATGTTTATTTTTTGTAAACAGATGTGTATTTTTTTTTAATAAACTTAGTGATAATATATAAAAATGCTTTTATTAAATAATAATAATAATATTTATTTATAAAACTGAAATTGAATTTATAGGCGTATATTTATTTAAATGACTATTATACAGAAGTTATATCCATATGAATATCAATACATTTTTACACTTTATATCCCACAAGATGTCGTTTTCCAATGCATTCTCCAACAAAAAACCAACATAGGACTTCCATTGCAACTAATGTATTTAACCAAGCTTCACGCACAGTAAGGTGACGATATTGTCCAGTTTTAAGATTATTAATTCCTTTTACAATACCACTTTTTATGGCAGGAATGTCAGATATCTTTGGTGGAGTTAATTCTACTTTTCCATAATATACAAATGCTTTAAAAGCAACTCGAGCCTTTGCTGCTAAAGCTGCAAATGAATAGAAAATTATAAGTAACAATTAATGTTTTATTTAAATTCATAAAAAGAAAATTATTAATGAATTAGAGTAAAATTAATCGATAATATATTGATTTTATATAACCTTAAAATTTGACGAAGCTTATTTTGGATGAATTATGTATCTGTTAATGTTATTTAAACTCATTAAAAAATTTTAATTATTAAAATTTCATCTTAATTTAGTAAAAAGAAATAATTAACTTTCGTATAATATCGTGAATATTAGTGTTACATAACAATTTCCACACGAAGTACAATTAATTTCATTGAGTAAGAGTTATAATTAAACAATAAATACGAACCTTTGCTTACTAGAACTACTTCTCTACGAATTACCGACATTTCCACTCACCACAAATTCTTTTCTAAATGAGAGAAAACAACTGTTTCACACCCTATACAACCCTTTTTGCAAACGATATTCTGCCATCTAGTGGTAATCTTTCGAATTATAATCTAGGATCTATACTATATGTAGAACGGGAAATTTTATAAACTCCAACGAACTATAGGATTCTATATGTATTAAATACTTGTCCATTGTTATTAATAAACGTTTATAAAAACGTACATGAAAGCAATATAATACTTCTCATGTAGATGATCAAACGATTAAACTGATAATTTTGAACAAAAACTAATTTGCTGTTCATTTTTTGGATATTGTTGAAATGTTTTTACTATCTTTTAAAAGTAAAAATGGCTAGATTAACCTGAATATTTAAAAATTATAACTTGTATAGATTAGAGGATTTTATTACATCTATCGTAATATTTTATAATAATTTATAAATTTTCTTAATTTGAATATATAATTTAGTTTATAAAAATATAAGAAAGAAAATTTTCATTAATATATGTTTTATTCTATGTGATCCAACATATTTTTTCTAGAGAATCTAATGAAGAAGTATTTATACACTATTTATGAGTTAAAAGAGTGAAGATCAACATAATTTTTAAAGTTATAGCTTAAATTGTGAAGTATTTTGAATACTAATCTCACTTGTACTAAATATAAAAATTGAAGTTAATGATGATAAAATTCATTATTTATATGTAATTATGTGTATAATTTCATAATTACATTTTTAGATACTTATAGGTATTTATCAAGAATTTTACTTGTTACGTATGTGAGGATCGAAATTGAGTTAAATACAATAACGTGATTTCAGTTAATGGACAGACATTTTTGATAATTGATAAATAGGTAATGTGTACAAACTAGTGACACACTATCACATATGTATCTTGTTTTTAAATATATATTAAGCTACATAAGCAGCAGCTATCTATAATAATTCACAAGCCATCAGGTTATCACCTTTGATTTAGGGTAGACCAAAAATTATTGATATCTAATTCACAAACAGCAAGTTTATTAAACATTTTGTAAGTATACAAAACACTTACATATGGTATAATTTCTGTGAAAAAGCAGAGTATGCACATAAAGAATTTATATAACAAAATAAGTATCTAATATTGAAAAAATGGTATTTTGAGAACTGAATTTTAGACGTTATGACTTATTTTTTTTTTTGTATTTATTAATCCCAACTTTTTACACGCAATTCAGGTTCTAAAATGCTCCAATTTGGCGAATGTTTTTCATTAGATAACCAGTTAAAGTCATCAACACAATTCCAGTTATTTATTTTTGGATCAAGCCCAGCTAAATTGAAATGGTTTGCTTGATCTTCATAAGACCAGTTATAAGGTGCTACATGTATTTTTGTACAATCTTCTATAATTGATCTACTTGTAACATGTGAATAAATAGTGCAATCAGTTGATGAATGTAGACGAAGTTGCTGACACGCGAAAGCAAATACACATTCGCTACAGTCATGTGCAAATACAGATGATGTTACTGGTCCAACTAATACAGTACATTGTTTTAAGTTTACCATGTGCAAAGTACTAGGTGTGCCATAAATTCGTACTGTACAGTGAATTAAATCAGAAAGTAGAATATCATTCTTATTCACATTTTCAGCATCCAAAACTACTTGTTCATCAATTTTCCCTAACAGCATACACGTACTATCTCCATATTTGCTTGATAATTTATAATTCTGTTTTGCTGAACCATTTACAATTCCTTCTGATATTTTTAAATCCTTTAAACCATCTGTCATATCGTGTGTTTTATCAGATGTTTTCTTCACAACTCTTCGATTTTTAAAACCAAATTTCTTTTTAGGTAATAATTTCATTTCCAAATCAGAAGTTTCATTTTCTAATAATTGTAAATTTTCTTGTGCTCTTCTAATATCATAAACTTTTAAAAACATCTTTGATTGTGATAAATAATTTTTAAGTGTTTGGATTTCTTTATTTGCTTTATCAAATATTCCAGGAAGAGCTGATGTAGGTGCACTAGGTGCATCATCTAACATTTCTTTAATTTTTTTGCACGATGAATAAAATGTGTCCTTAAAATAACTACTTTGTTCAGATTCAACAGCCAATGATTGCCTTTCTTCTCTTCGTCTTTCAATAATATTTTTTCTTTCACGATCTCTTTTGCTAATACGATCTGGTAAACTACCTTCTATTAAAGTTGGAGGATCCATACTGTACTTTCAATGCGAACTGTTTCAAAGTTATATCTTGTATTTCATTAAACTTGGGATGTTTGTTAATTTCAATAACAAATTTATCTTCACTAGTACTTTATTTTAAGAATCTAAGAATTTTATATTTAAAGGCTTTGAGGTAAAAGCTGAAAAGTGCAAGAAATATAAATATTTAATGTATATTAATAAAGATGTGATTATTACATGAAAATATTTAGTGAATATTAAATTAATAAAATGAAAATAAAAATAAATAACAGTTATTTACTAAATATTGAAAAAATCTACCGAACTAAATTTAACTACATAAAATGATTTTGTAAAAGAATAGCCAGACATAAACAAACCTGCTAAGTATACTTTATGTATGACACTTATAACAGAGTATACAAATACCTTGTTTTTAGAAGAATCAATTTTTGAAGAATATCTTAAACCGTCACTACCTATCAAAAATGTTGGAAGTTTTATAAACTTCATAAGATTTCACTTTCATTTTGTCGATGTTGCCAAGATTGTAAATCTGACAATTTGATGTTTCCTCTACCTGCCTGTTCTTCAAACATGTAATAACCTTCTAGTATTTTTGGACTATGTTTATACAGAAAATATCTGCAATCTAATATTCATAATATTTATTCCAATATTTGTTTAGATGCAATTACTAAAATTTCATTAATTTTATAACGTAATGAATTATTTTACAACAATATAAACGCAGTTTCAAAAAGCTGCAAAGAATTTAAATTATCGTTATTTATGTTTTACGCATGTTTTTTTTTTTATACGTTCTTCCTCTGTTTCTTAAAACGTTAATTCTAAAATAATTGTGTTACACTATAATTGAGTAAAAATAACCTAAAATATAAAAGGGTCACAAAAAGTAACATATAGTATACCTGGAGAAAGACTTAAAGTAAACCAAAATGTGGCTGATGCCGTGAACAATGCAGTTTCAAATAAAATAATTGTTTTGAGTGAAGCAAATCCCGATTTTCGTGGTCCTTTGTAAAGCATACTAGCTAATAATACGATTTCCTAAAATGGAAATTATCAATACGGCAAAGAACGATGTATCTCTCGAGGTATCGAGACAAATTTCATTAGGAACAAGTACAGCAACCTTACAAGCTTTACTCTCGTTATGCAACACTTGAAAGAAAAACTATTCTGTTCGATATATTATTTCGATATAAATAGCGGAAAATTTTAAATTACACTATGTATTATTTTAATAAATAGAAAATTATGTTTTTACACTGTAATAGGTAAAATGATACATTATTTTTACTGATATATTAAAGAATTTTATTATAATCAAATATACAGCACGAGACATATAAGATCGCAATCTAAAATATCTCCATTGTTTGTAGTGGTATGAAAAATAATTAAAGGAGGAAATATGTAATTTGAAGGGACACATAATACAGTAATCAATTATTTCAGTCATATACGAAATAGATTTAATTATTTTAAACTACAACTAAGCTGTTTATTTTATAAATACAATTGTAAATAGCTAAATGGTTTTTATAGCATTGTTGAATTTGTTTTGAAATATTTAAATGTATTTAAAGTTATAAATATAAAATTTTATTCTTGGTTTGTCCCTTCAGTTCAAATATCAATTAAAATATCTATAAGACCTCCCTTAAAAATTTTTGTGTATTACCAAAAATAGTATTCCTATTTTATATGATCCATCTTATTTATAGCACAATTAATAATATTATTATTATTATTGTTCTACTTTTTTTTTTATATCTGTTCGTTTATTCATTATGATATTATGAAAACGAGTATAAGCCTATTAATAAAGAACATCATAGAATACAAAAGCATTGTTAATTCTTATATTTTAATTAAATAAGTATGATAAGGAAGTTATAGTAGTATGTAAAATTTATATAGCCTTATTTAGGCCTTTTATAAAAAAAAATGTTTTTTTTTGTTCGATTGTTTATATATGCACGTGTGTATGTGTACGCGCGCGCGCGCGCGTGTTTCTTTTTTAAATTTAATATTTCACAACACGTAGTAATATATTTTTTTACATATTATGAAAGTACATAAATAAATTTGAAAACTTTAATGCAGAATAATATATTATAATAAACTTTTTGCATAACATAACATTTTATGTATAAAATAGTATCATTAATTTAATAGTGTACATGTTAAGTTAGAAAGTGCAGAACATTATACCTATGGAAACAGCCTAATTTAAAGATTGTAGAAGAATATTTATTGTACAGCTTTTCATACATAAGCACAGATAAAGTATCTAAGAGAAAAACGTGTTTTTGAAAAATCATTAAGACTGCATCTGCAAGTAGTATTCATTACATATATAGCAATAAAAAAATAATTGTTAAGATAATTTTTCTTATAATTTGTACAGGAAAAGATGTAATTTCTTTTTATTTAATTCATTTTATATATCAAGTATTTAAAGTTAAGCACAAATTCTGTATCAAAATTTTGTTTCATTTTAATATTATTAATGCAAAATTATGATATTAACCTATTATTAAATTTATTACAATCTTTTTAACCTATAATAATAGAGTAATACCTTACTAAAACAACTCGTTACATAATGTAGGTTATATTTTAAAAGATTATGAAGTACATATTCGTTTCTAAAAATAAGAAATGTCCGTTATTCGAAAAATAGGAAATATCCGTTATTATACATACTATGCATAAACAAATTCTTATTCACACATCTATCTATCTTTTTATAGTTTATTTTAAATATTTCGGATAAATTATAAGTAACACAAGCAACTAACTCACGCATTATTGGTCTCAAATCATACAATTAGTACCTAATATTACGCACTTTTAATATAACATATCTATACTAGACATTTTAAGAACAAACACACACTGCTATTATAACAAACGGCAGTTTTTTGCGTAAAACCATATATTTATCATTTTATGTACATACGAAATAATAAACTAAAATCTAAAAATATGAGAAATACAGAATAATGATAATGTACATGGAGATTCTTCAACAAGTTTAATTTTCTTGATAAGATGAATTGTATTATAATCTAATTATATTAGCTGTTCTAATAAACAACTTTAATTGCACTGTAAAAACGCAAATCGTTATGTGAAGATATCATTAGTTTATGCTTATTTATTTATCATTAGAGTTTATTTAATTTTGTTAAAATTTCAGTATATATCTGGTTCAAAATTATTTAAAAATCATATAGTATGACCCAACATAAGATAATACTGTTCAAAAAGTAGTTATTTTACTTGAATTATTTACTTTATACTTTCTACTAAAAAAATAAATAAAAAAATTCTTTTCTTTTTTCAATTTGCAAAATTCTATGAAACATTTTTGCCCCCTATTTACATAAAATAATTAAAACAAGTAATTTTTTTATGCAAAGTTCTACGTTTAATTTATCAAACATGGCATATTTTGTATATCAAGTTATCATATACTAATTTTATAGAAGAAAAGGCTTTTAATAACTTTTCCTTATTGTTTAGAAAAGTCATGTAGAAGTATTTGATGAACAAATATAAAAATACTGAATTATAAGAAATAATTAGTATTCTTTTATTAATGTTACAAATAATTGAGAAGGAAAACGCTATTATTGAAAGAGATATGATGAAGATGTATGTTAGATTTAAATGTTATTTATGAATAACTTTTAAGTAAAATTAATTACTTACTGTTTGTTATATTGCAAATTATAAAAAGATCTGAGAATTTTTAATTAGATTATAAAGTGCTAAGGCACCACAGGTAAATGCAAATGATAATAGTGATTGATATCATATTATCTCACTATAATTTTAGGGGCGTAAACTACAGACATTTCCTTTGCATGTAATTTTTTTTTGTTATGTAAACGTGTTTATAGTATTATTTGTTCTGAATGTATTTATACAAACATACTCTACAGCTTTTGATACTGTGAGACCTCCAGTTTGGTTTTTATTGTTTTACCAAATTTAACAGAAGAAAAACAAATGTTTTAATATCCTTATATTCTCATTTATAATTATATATTATTGTATAGTTTTTAAGGTTATCTTTAAAAAAAAAAAAAATAAATAAAAAATAAAAAGAAAATTAAAAAATAGAAAAAAAAAATAATTTACATTGTGTTCGTTTTTTTGTATTTATTAGTAAAGAAGTTATTTGAGAAAAATGAAAAACAATAGATTATATTTTGTTATGAGGAAAAAAGAAGGCAAAGATTTATGTATTATATAAAAACATAATAACAGCATTAAAAGATACTGTAATGTTACATAATTTTTTACGTAATTTAAAAATATTATTATAGTTATAAAAGGTAATTATCATTACCTTGTAATAATAAAGTTTAAAATATTAGTAATAAATGAAATGCGACATATAAAGATATTTGATTTACATCAAGGAACTAATGTTTCAAATAAATGTTCAGGATTCATATATTCTACTGATAGTGTATTAACATTTTTATGAGTGTGAAAATATTAAGGCAAATGTAATATTTATAAATTTTTGACAGCCAGTACATACATTTTAATGATATAAAATCACAGTACTGAATAAAGGTACTAATATCAGGATTCATGCTCAACTTTCAAATCCAGTTTATTTTCTTGTATATTAAAATTATTAACTTCTTGAATTTCTGATTACTATTGCGTCAAACTGCACGTCTCATAACAGAGTTCAAACTATTTATAAACTTCATAATTTATCTCACTTAGTCATCAAATTAGTTACTGAAATTAAATTTTTCTTTATATAGTATTTATATTACTTCTATATTTTTTATCATGTTTTACGACATCTGTATACAATTTGAAACATACAATATTAATGTAAGATGGCAGTTACATATATAGTGAAAAATGAGAATGGTATTGCCCTTATCAATGATTAAAAAAATTAATTGGAAATTCATTAAGCATGAAATTGTTATTTACAATTTTTTATTTTTAGAAAGGATAAATTTGACACAGTTTTTGTCAAAACAAATTTTTTTTTTTGATAATGATCTCGCAAAACCATAAATTTTATATGTTGCTGTAATGCTTTTTACTCTGTTCAATGCTTATTAGTGCACATTAATTTTTCTCTTTACAATGCTACGACGGAATTTGTTCAATTTCTATTTTGTTATAATTTATATCAGTCAACATGTTATGTTGTTCTCCGTTTTCAAGAGTTTACATCATTAGTTCACATTGATAAATTGTTTAAATTCAATTTCGACTGGCAAACGAACCATAAAATTTCATATAAAATCTGTTAATAAGGAAAAGATTGGTTTTCAAGTAACACCTGTTCATTAGTTGTTTAATCAATTAGCAAATGATGCTAACACATCTCTCATTTACTCTCAACAGTAGTCATTTACCCAGACTTACAGTAATGAGGCATAAAGAGATAGCTGCTGGGGGCAGGAAAGAGTCAGTATGACGATCACTATGACAGTCTTTTGAACACCATGAGGTCATGGGAACACTGATATACTGTAGTACGCTACGATACCATTTCATGCCATCCACTACCATTTGAAGAGTTGCTTTCTACTGGAACTAAAATTAAAGCACACAATTTGTATAAATTTATGAAATGAATTTGTATTTGAACTTCATAAACATCAAAAGGTTACTAATATTAATATTAAAACAATTTTATAATTTTTATGAAACATTACAGCTTTGATGAAACAGTATTTAATAAACTTACCAGTCTTGTCACTATCAACTTTCTCTGGAGAAGATGACCTAGGTCCCCATATTCTTACTGTGCAATCATCTGATACAGAAGCCATCATTTGATGATATACAGGATTCCATGACACACAATTTACTGTTCTACTATGTCCTGTTAAGATTGCTATAGGTAGTTCCCTTTTGATATGCCACACATAAACTTTAGTATCTATAGTAAAATTTATTTTTATTATATATAAATTTTAATAGTATTAATCAAAATAATATTACAAATAAAATATTTTTGTTAAATAATTTACCTTCACTACCAGATGCAATGAAATCTTGATTTACACCACCAAAACAACTATGTATTGTAAAATGTCCTTGAGTAACGCCTTGAAAACGTCTTACTAAACATCTATCTTGTAAA